CGAGAGATATAACCCCCCGTTTTTGGTACTAAAATAATTTAGGGTTTTTAGATGCCATTTCGTTGGAACAAAATTGGGTTTTTCTCTTTATGGATGGTTTTCTTTTTTGTAGATCTAAAATCCCTTTCCAAGGGGGAAAATGAAAAGAGCTAGAAGTAAGAGATAAATTTTGTGTTAATCTGCACTACTTGAAAGTGTAAAAAGTAATGCTGGAAGGTTTTGATTGGAGGATTGACTTCTGGATCTTTATGGATCAACGTTCAATTCAATTTAGTTATTATTTCAATATCCGAATGCTTGATTGCGTTATTTTGCTGCTTGAATTGAGAACAGGATTATGCATTCTATGGCGGTGGAGGTGGCGATGGAGGAGGACAAGGGTCTAGGATTTATACGAATGTGCAGAGGGATTTCAATATGGGGAACGATTTATTCTCTGAACCTATGGGTCCTCCAGTTTGTTCACGGCTGTCAAGCCAGAGGAAGAATGGTGAAGAGTCGCCCAATGAATTTAGTCCTGGTCTCCTAGATCTGCATTCTTTTGATACAGAGCTTATACCTCAGGTTAGTCATTCACCGTTTCTTTAAATTTAGTAGGTTTATTGTTCACGTCTACTATTGATGAATTAGTCCAGTAATAAACAAATAGGGGATTCATAAGTTCATCGAATCATCAGTTTTCTTTTTGGGTGCATACATTGAATCATAGTTCAGATTTTAGTGTCTTAAAGGATTATAATTTCTGGTAACAAAAAATGAAAAAAAGAAAGAAAGAAAAAAAGAGAGAAGATAGTTTAGATTCTTGTATTTTTAATCATTTATTACTAGTTAATGCTTAAACTTAGCGAAAGGGGCAGGTAGCATGTACTAAAATTAGTATAAATCAGTGTTTGGTGATAGAAGGAAGCTGTTTGACTGAATTCAATTTTCTCTTATAGCAACTTTGGTAGATTCATAAGGATTGTTAACCTATTTTGATTTATACCTCATGCACTCCATGTTTATAGTATTTTGATTTATGTTTATAGTTAGTCTTATTTGTTTTCACGGGAAGTGTGCAATCTAGAAGTTTTGAGATTCAACTGTATGAGTAAATCAATTTTTATGATTGTTTATGTCCATGATTTTGTTTATTGGTGACAGATGCCTGTTCCCGACCTGTATAATGGTTCTTCTCTCTATAATCCTGTCCGAGGCAAAAGCTTTGATGACTCTGAACCCTATATTTCAAATAACAAACAAACAGGCAGAGCTGGTGGTGTGCCAGGCAATGACCTCCTCAAAAGCTTTGCTGCAGACAAAGAGAAGGTCAATTCAGTTGCAAAGATCAAAGTTGTGGTATGTCTTTGTTATGCTGATTACCTTTGACTATCGCTTCATAATTTACTCTCTTTTCAACCTAAAGGGATTGCAATACCAACAAAAGCAGTAGATGCTTTTTACTATCTTGTGATTCATGCATCACATGTTTTGCATGAGTAAATTAATGATCAACATCTAAGTATCTTACATCAAGCTACCACCACCACCACTCAGTTTCTATGGGTTTTTTATTGCAGGTGCGCAAGAGACCTCTCAATAAAAAGGAGTTGGCAAAAAATGAGGAAGATATCATAGAGACCCTTTCCAATTCCCTAGTAGTGCATGAGACTAAACTTAAGGTAACAACTAAATTATTTTAACCTCTACAAGGTCAAGGCTATACCAAATTAGAAAGGTCACATAAAAGCATAGCGATTCAAAATGAACCCAGAAAATCTCAAATATGTATTTCCCAATTTTATGCCCGAAGAACAAAGAAAAATGTGAATGGAACCAATGACAAACAGTTTTCACATTTAATTATTTTAAACAACTCCTATCAAAAAAAATTATTTTAAACAACAGTTTTGTACATCAATAAGGAATCTCAAACCTTCACTTGTATTTTTAGTTTCAAATGATTATTTTGGCCCTTCTTGGAGGAAGTATTATATGTTTTTTATGCCATGGCATAACACATTAAAAAGCTTATTGCATTTTTATGCCTTCATTTGTTAATTGGTTTTTTTTGACACACTTCAACTATTTATCTAGCATAATTAGTCTATTCTTATACTACATATATTGACATGTTTAATTTTTGACATTTTGTAGGTTGACCTTACAGAATACTTGGAGAAGCATGAATTCGTTTTTGATGCAGTGCTGAACGAAGAGGTTTCTAATGATGAGGTGAGTAGATGGTCTAAACTTATTAGTGGATAAGGTTAGAATATATTACAGGATATGGATCTCCTAGAATTGTTGTTTTTCTCACCCTATCTTGGCTTCATTTTTTCTGAAGGTCTATCATGAGACGGTGGAGCCCATAATTCCTATAATTTTTCAACGCACCAAAGCCACTTGTTTTGCATATGGTCAAACAGGTAAATAACTGTCACCAAATCTTAGATGGATACTTTGTTGGAGGTTTTTTTTAACTGTGAATTTTTCTTGTTTGACACTAACTTATAATTTGCTTTCTGCATCAATTTATTTCTTATTTCTGAATTACAAATTTAAGCCATCTTGCACTTATAGATCTTTCTCTTGTTCAGGAAGTGGAAAAACCTATACTATGAAGCCGCTTCCGCTTAGAGCCTCTAGGGATATTTTGAGGTTGATGCACCATACCTACAGGAACCAAGGGTTTCAGTTGTTTGTAAGCTTCTTTGAGATATATGGAGGAAAATTGTATGATCTTCTCGGTGATAGGAAGTAAGTTGTTAATGGTTACAAGCATTCTCCTTTTCTGTTCAGTGCTTTTGTTTCTAAATTCGCTAAAAACTAACCTTTCTTTCTGTAGAAAACTTTGCATGCGAGAGGATGGTAAGCAGCAAGTTTGTATTGTGGGTCTGCAAGAGTACATAGTATCAGATGTAGAGACTATTAAGGAGCTTATTGAGAAAGGAAATGCCACAAGAAGTACTGGTACCACAGGTGCAAATGAGGAATCATCCCGATCTCATGCCATACTTCAGCTTGCCGTCAAGAGATCTGTTGATGGAAATGGATCAAAGCCTCCCCGTCTTGTTGGCAAGCTCTCCTTTATAGATCTGGCTGGAAGTGAACGAGGTGCAGATACTACAGATAATGATAAGCAGACAAGGTACTGTACATCTTTTAAATTGCAAAATGACCATGGATAAAGAGCAGGTTCAATTACAGAGCTTAATATATATAAAAAAAAAGCGTTGTTACTATAAGTTAAACAGACAGAATTTAGTGTTGCTTGTTTAATTAGCCATTTCTATTTGTAATGCAGAATGGAAGGTGCAGAGATCAACAAGAGCTTGCTTGCCTTGAAGGAGTGCATAAGAGCTCTTGACAATGATCAGGGCCACATTCCTTTTAGAGGCAGTAAACTGACTGAAGTTCTAAGGGACTCTTTTATGGGGAATTCCCGTACGGTTATGATATCTTGCATTTCACCGAGTTCAGGGTCATGTGAACACACTCTGAACACCTTAAGATATGCCGATAGGTAAACAAGACTTGTCTAATTATAAACAAAATTTACTAATCTTTTTTTAAATTCATTCCTCTGGTTTTAATTGCCTTTTCCTTTCATGTGTTTGACTTCTATTTGATGTAAAAATTACATACAGGGTGAAGAGCCTTTCCAAAGGGGGAAACCCAAAGAAAGATGTTTTATCTTCGACCTTAAATCTGAAAGAATCCGCTGCTCAGCCCTTATCTTCAGTTTCAGCAACTGCATCATCATCCTTCGAGGATGATATTAATGATACATGGCCTGACCAAGATGAAAGAGATGATTTTGAAGCATCAGAAGACACCTTTGAGCAGGAGAAAGTGATGTGGAAGAAAAATGGGAAGCGGGATCAATACAATTTCTCTACATTGGAGAACAAGTTACCGAAACCTATCGGTCAGAAGAAATGGAAAGAACCAGTAAGATCCAACTTTAAGCATTCAAATTCAGACGATGATTTGAATGCTCTCCTACAGGTAATTTTTACAAGATGATGACATAAAAAATAACTTGTTTTTTAATGTTAAAGCTCAAGTGTTGCCTTTACACAGGAAGAGGAGGATCTTGTAAATGCCCACAGGAAACAAGTGGAGGAAACCATGAACATTGTCAAAGAGGTAAACCTGAGTTCGCAACTTATTCTTTACCTCATTGAGCTGCTTTCATGATTTCATTAAATTCAAATGTAACATTTTCAGGAGATGAACCTGCTGGTTGAAGCAGATCAACCCGGGAACCAGCTGGATGATTATATATCGAGGTTGACTGCTATTCTTTCTCAGAAGGCTGCCGGCGTCACACAGTTACAAAATCGATTGGCTTATTTCCATAAGCGCTTAAAGGAGCATAACGTGTTAGTATCTTCATCTGGCTATTGATTATGGAGTTGAAGATAGAAGTCAAACTATTCATTTGACTTTTTCCGAAATACATTGCTAGATTGGTTTGGTTTTATGATTTATTATTATTATTTGCATTTTTAAAGGGAGATTCTATTGAAAAAATTGATTTGGCAGCAGTTTGCTGGATGATTCAGATTCACCATGTGAAGAAAAGAGCAAAAAGATTACTTCAACAGCAACTGTAGTCAAATTGTATAATTTAACATATAATTTACATCAAAATAAAAATTCCATGTTATAATTAGGGCATTGAAAATTTAGTGGTATAAACTATACACCGTCTAGAGTTTAATGATATTTTATATAGTTTACTCATATATAAAATTGATGAAAATCTTAAAATCACACTAAATTGTCAATAAGTGTTGACTTTCAAAATTTTCGAGTCTGGATTGCTCTTCCTTTTTACAGGGACCAATTTGCTCAAATTTAAAATTGAAAGAGAGTTAAGAGGGTTTTCCCCTTTCAAATTTAATTTCTCGACCACGTGGAAAGTTCAAACCTAATCCCATTATGGACGAACAAATCGAGCTAATCTCTTATAATAAGCCGAAAAACGTAAAACGAACCCATTAGGCGCATCCAAGAAATCGAATTCTTCAACTCCATTCTGAAAAACCCTTCAGCTGCCATAATACTTTCTTCCTGCGCCGCTCTCCTCCTTGTTCAGCTCCAATGGTAAAACAGAAAAAACAGCAACCACTCTTTTATTTTCTCTTCCTTTGATCTGCTTGCATGTTTACAATTGAAATGAATACTGTAATTTGCAGGGAAAGGGAACAGGGAGTTTTGGTAAACGAAGGAACAAGACCCATACTCTTTGCGTGAGATGCGGCCGCCGTAGCTTCCATATCCAAAAGAGCCGGTGCTCTGCTTGTGCTTTCCCTGCTGCCCGTAAGAGGAAATGTAAGTACCTCATCTTTCCTTTCATCTCTAAAGCTTTAGTTTTTTTCGTTGCTTACGGTTTATTAGGTATGCTTTTAAATCTGGGTTTCTTCCCGTTTGGCTGATTTATTTTTCTGGGTTTGTTTCTTTTTATGTACTCAGTGTATTCAAGTTAATCTCTTTTGATAAGATTATGTATCTTGGATTGTAATTTACTAGTTTGCTTTTCTACTTGAATAAATTTCTTATAATTAGAGTTCTTTATCCAGGGCTATGTTAGTGTACCAAATCAAAAATTGCTGGTGATTGATGGGGATAGAGATCCTGAATATAATGAGAAGTGTGTGATCACTGATGTGAAATTTTGTTTCTTTACCAAAGTTTAAACTTTTTTACTTGCAGGAGTATGAATGTTTGTAATATGATGATGATCGTACTTGTTAGTTCTAATGTTACAAGAAATTTGCTTATATTCTTAGATCGCAGTAATACGGTTGTAGTGTCGTGAACTCGTGATGTTTTAGATGTTAAATTATGTGTGAATGGGGATTGTAACTTGGTATGTTAATTGTTAAATTTAAGGGGAGCCTGTTTATTGTGTCAATCAGATAACTGGAGTGTTAAGGCAATCCGAAGGAAGACCACCGGAACTGGTAGGATGAGGTATCTCCGTCATGTTCCTAGGAGGTTCAAGACTGGTTTCAGAGAAGGTATGTAAATGCCTGCTAATCTCTTTATATGAACATATTATGTTCCAGTTGAAACGTTTTTAACCCCAAAAATTGTTAATATTTTGAATTGCATGTTGGATCATGATCCTAGGTATTGAAGCAGCACCGAGGAAGAAGATCGCATTAGCTTCTTCTGCTTAAGTTGCTTATGAGGTTGTTTAGTTGAATTCATCATTTTTAGTACAAGTTTTGTTTGGAGCATTACTTGACAAGTGCCACTTATTACAACAATGGATGTTTTGTCGTCTTTAGTTTCTATTTTTATGTAGCTGCTTAGGCTATTTTTGTTCGACTCTTAATTGATGTTTTATTTTATTTTCTTTTCTGGATTAAATTAATGACATACTTGTTTAAGTGACGTTGCCTGTAATATTGTTTTGGATGGCTGAAATTTTAGAAATAATGCATCAAAAGATTTATAAATCCTGTGTATTTTTAGTTGATAATCGCGGCTCATGAGGTAATTGTTAAACATTAGATGATAAGAATTGGGCGAAAAAGCACAGCCAAAAGCTTTCAATCGTATATCAACTGTTCTCAAGGTTTACTTACAATTCCCTCCAAGAGTGATGAATCTTTTTTTTTCTCAAGGAAAAGGACACTAATTACAGAATTTGAAAATGTATATGAAGTGGTACATATTGGCGCTGTAAAATATGAATGACGTAATCTCTTCTCAATGCAATGAACCAAAAACATGAATCTCAACATTCCACTGACTTGAGGGGAAATATACGGCCAAACCTCTATTGTTCAACCTCCAACTAATACGCTTTATATTCACCGAACTTGTGTTTTTCCTCATGCAACTGCTTGAATAAGTAACCCATCTCCGGAAATGCAGACAACAGCAATAGCTTGATAACATCGTATGCCAACAGCTTCAAACACACACTAGACTGCAACAAGAGACACCAAAAACATTAACCATAATGAATTTCAATATGAAAACCAAAATCACCAGCCACTCTCAACAACTTGTAAGCTGCACCGATCACGTTATACCCAACTCGATGTTAATAATTCAAGTGTTGTTTCTATTAATGTCCTAAATTACCTGAATAAAGAAATAGACATTTTTGGCGCATTCTTCGTACTCCTTGTGACCAACAATACCCACAATAGCAGCAGGCACTTTGTCTGTACCGAGAAAACCGTATTAATTGACTTTCTTAGAATTTTCGGTTTGGTGACATTAGAAAATGTGCAATGCAGATTATGATCAGAAACATTGATGATAAACAAACTACCAATCATTAGCTCGTAAACAAATTTTGCACGACGTTCTGCTTCCAATTGTTGCTGCTCATCACTCGATATAGATGATGTCTCAGGAGATTGTGGATGTGGTGAAGCTTGGGATGGACTACAAGATGGTGGCGGACGTTGTCTCTTTGGATGTTTCGTTATGAATATTCCATCAGGCCAAAGTATCTGCATGAAAATTGCAGGCATTCTATGTTAGAAGTGCATACAAGCATCGGTAGCCACGTTTAAAAGTTATATTTTTTATTTTTTGTAAAAAACCACTTGCAGTTTCCACAAAACAAGACATGAAGTAGTAAAGTGGAAGCACAAGTAAATACAGAAAAAAAAAATCTAATATAGCAAAAACATATTAGACAAAGGATGTAAATATAAATTTCAAGTCGGATAGGACATTGAATAGAATCCTAGTTGATCTTTGATCTTAAAAACATATGTCGGACAGATCTAGACTAAGCTGTATGGAAAACTCCACTATAGAGGACAAAAATGATTCCGCTGTAGAGGCTTGAGTAAAGATCACTGGGGTTGGGCTGGCCCTTCAATCCTCTTGCAAGCTTGGTCAAGAGGAGATTTCTTCTAGGTCTCTAATGACACCAAACAAATTTACAGATAACTTGGCTATACTTTTAAAGGAAAAAAATAATTTCTGAGATCAAATAACTACCTGCTCAACCCGTTTGATTTTGCGTAGTAGCTGGATCTTTTCTATCAGCCAGTCATCAAAAGCATCACCCATTCCAAGTTGTACCTGAAATACACAAGCAAAGTACATAAAACTTGTGCATCTGGTTAAAATTCAATGTGTTAATGCTAATCTTACATAAGGGCAGATGATTTCCCATTTTAAGGAGGCAAAATCAAAATATGATGCCAACATAAGTGAACAGTCCTATAGCCATTTATGTACCTGATCCATCCACCATCCTGGAGCTGGAAAATGACATCCACCAAATCTAATATAGGAGCAGTTAAATTTGGTGGTACCCACTACAACAGAAGATGAGTCGGTTAAAATCCATCGAGGACCATAGATGTGTTTCAAATAGAATTGCAAATAAGTATGAAACGTGAAAGTTTTGCATTTGATTAAGCATGGTTATGACAGACAAGTTAATTCTGGAGACACTGACAGAGGATAGAAAACATTTGGCATTAAACTGATTACCTCTGTAGGAAGTGTTGAGTACATGTCAGAATCAAGAAGCAACTCAGAAGCATCTTCCACTATTTCGTTCTCTCTTCCTTTAACATTTTCCTTTGAGTTCCTTCCCAACGATGTATTTCTCACTTTAGCATCAGAACCATTGCCAGTATCTTCAGAGGACTTGCACCATGCTCCAGTGGCAACTTTTGATAGAGAATTAGACACATTTTTTGTATTTCTTAATCCATCAGTTGTAAGAGTAAGCTTTGTTTGCAATGAAGGTTCCTTGCTTTCAGTATCTAACTGTTGTCTCCTGGAAGTTAAGGGACCCATCAGAGGCCCCATAACATTTGAAGCCTTTTTGCCCTTTCCAGATGGATTATCATCAAGGCCAACTAGAAAGTTTCCAAGCAACGCACAAAATATAATCATTTGAAGGAAAAAGCAAACTATGCAAACAGCCTACTAAATTATATTTGAATTACCTGACAATGTTTCGACAAAAGAAAAAGAACTCGAGAATACATATGTCTGCATTACAAAATATTATATAATAAGAGGTTGTACTTAACTAGGAAAATCTGAGACCACCCCCAACCTCTAAACAATTTCTCTTCCCATAAAAGAAAGGAAAAATAAGTTCACCTGGGAATCAACACTTAGGAAGTCCCAAACTTCAATTGATCCTGAAATAGTCGGAAGCTGCAATAGCATCTGAAGACGAAAAAAATATTAATAAGTCCTCTAAATACATAAAGATACGAAAATCTAGTATATAAAGCATATGCTATGCCTATTTCTCACATATGAATTAAATGTCAAGTAATCAAACAGCCCAACATATATATTTTACGACAAAAACTCAATACAGAAAAATGATAAAATTGAGTTCAAGCATTTAACCTTTAAATACTCATCAAGCAATTTACACCGTTCTCGAATTACAGGAATGTCTAAACCAGATGAGAGAAAATGCTTTGGTGGCAAGTGAAGTTTATATTCTGGAAAAGATTTAAGACACTGATGAAGCTCCTCAAAATGGCGAAACCTGAATGAGAACAATTAAAAAGGCTAGCAACACAGATAGAGGTGAAGATAAAAATCTAACTGGTTTCACATTTTCGAAAAATCCAGCTGAGATGCCTCGACAATGCTCTAGGATGCAACATGGGAGGTAGACCAGAAAGTATATAGCACACTCTACACACCTTCTCTTGATGGACCAACTACTATTTTTATTTATTACATCTGTAACAGATATGGAGTAAACAGCAAATGTTCTTGAACCACTCTTCACAATATTTGCACCTAAAACCTGCAAAAGGAAATAATATTGCAACAATCATGGAAAAAGTACCAGAATGAGAAATTATAGCAAACTGACATGAAGAAGATACTTGTCATTATTATGTACCTCACATCTCAATTTAAAAAAAGACCCTCCAACCAACGAATTTTGCAAGGAATTAACAGTCAAACTACGACTTTCTGAAATAGAGAGAGGAGAAGCAGATGAAGAAGCAGTTGCTCCACTGTGAAGTCTACCAAAGAATTCAGTCTCAGAATCATCACTGGAATATTCAGCTTTTCCATGTCCATTCAGTGAATTAAGTATGTCTTGTCCATCCCCTGATAAGAAGCTTGTCCTCTCAATCTCTTGCCAGACAGGCAACTTCTGACTGGTTGATCTAGATCTTTTCCTTCTGGATGGGGTTCTAGTCAATCTTCGATATTGAACGTGCCTTCCACCAGCCTTCTTTAAATATGGCCCTCAGGATTTTCAAGTGGATGATGAATGTGAGAAACAGTCAGGTTTCTGTTACTCTTACCATCCCAAACTTTAGTTCCAGAAGAATCAAGACCCATTACAAGCCCCGAGTCTTCTTCTCCAGACATAAAGGAATCACTGCTTTCTGTTTCAACCTCCTCCAAATCAACAAGGTTATGATCATCTTCCTGAGAAGATACAACTGAAGAGCAGTATGATACGTTCCGAACTTCATGTGGGAATGATCTTTCTATTCTGCGTGGATCAGTTAATGCCGGTTGAGCAACATGACTCTCAGATGAGTTAAGCTTGGCTGGATACTTTTCTCTGGTCTTCACTATTGCTTTTGCATGATCCACAGCAGCAGAGTTCCCAGCAAAGAAATGATGTGGAACTTGCCCAATTAATTGTTTTTCTCCATCCTTTTTGTAATCTCTCCCCTTTGTCCACATGTTCTCAAAATTTTCGGGAGCAAGGGCCTCAGTCTTTCTACGTGAAATCAGATCTAACACGTCACCCCATTCTCCGCCTGAACAATGTCGTTCAATATCTCTTTCAGCACCAGTCTGTGAGTTCAAGGGCACCGAGCTCCATGAACGGAAAGTTTGGGTATCCATGGAAAGCAATGAATCCTTTGAAAGTTGTTTTCCATTTAGTTCGTCTGTTGCAGTGGTGTCTCCAGCAGCTCCAGACTGATTAGTTTTTAACCGTACAAGTTCAACACCAGTAACAGAAGGATCTAGAAACTTAGAAAAATGATCAGACGGGATCTTTGAAGAGCCATTTGCTTTGTATTGAGATGCATCTTGAGCAGCATTAAGTTCTCCTTTAGCTTTTGTCCTAGATATAACAGCAGATTCGATCCTCTCATTTATAAACCTGTGGCAAAAATTCAATATGATTGAGACAAGTAGCAACATAAAATAATGAAGTCAAGAAAAGTAGAAATGCATATCACCTTGGACTCACTAAATTTATGACAGTTCGAATTACTGTGCAAGCCAGAAGCTCCCTGACAATATAACGAAAGAAAGAGCACTATAATCTTCGGGCCTGAATGTTAAAGAAATGAGACCATTCATCAAATGTTGCAACACCTGAAATGAACAGGGCAGGCACTATCATAATCAAGGGATAGTACACTCCTATAGGAATGTCAGGTTAATGGACTAGTT